CCTACAGCAGTATCAAGAAACTTAGGTCCATTTCCATTTGATTTTACCTTAACATTGCTGTAAGTTTAAAAGATTGTACACTTTCACCTAGCAAAATTAAATGCATGGGTTTGCAACCAACTTCAACTCATTGTTTGTTGAGGGAAATATATTAAATTGCAGTATTTAAAGCCAGCCTCTCACCCGCCCCTCCCACCATAGATGATGCCCCTTGAGAGAAAACATCAGTTTTTCAAAAGATTTATTGAAAATCCTATAATGTGTTGGGAACATAACAGAATCAAACCACAATTCCTCCTTTTTGGAAGTGAACCAATAAATGTCAGAAATCGTTGTCACGTATAAAACTGCCTTGTGAGACAAGTAACGTCACAGGTTGAACCTGAGCAAAGTGCTTCCGGAAGTCATTTTCTAGGTAGAATTGTATGGGAGTATATAGTGTGTGCTTTGGTAAAAGAGGCCATTGTGTGAACTGGGTATTAAAAAATGGCAATGAAAAGGAGGTAGGTAGCCTTGTTAAGCTAAGGGACCAAAAATCTTGGAAAATGCTGGTCTGGAAGGGGTGTAGGAAGGCCAATTAAAAGATCCTGTGGTGAACGGAAAGACGCCTATAACCCTCTACAACAGTGGTTCTCAACCTTCCTAATGCTGTGACCCTTTAATACAGTTCGTCTGGTGACTCCCAACCATAAAATTATTTTCGTTGCTACTTCATAATGGTAATTTTGCTACTGTGACCCCTGTGAAAGTCGTTCGACCCACCACCACCAAAGGAGTTACCACCCACAGGTTGGGAACTGCTCTAAAATGGGTGTATGTTTTAGATATTTAGAAGGCTTAAATGGTAGGACATGAATCAGGCAGTTGATACTGAAAACTAGGTATATGTCTTGGGCCAAAGTGGAAAAGGGGCATGAATTTGAGTTGTCAAAAAAAACACTAGATGGACAGAAATATTGAGCCTTAAAAGCTAGACAAACTGTCTTCGGTTTTACGTAATGAGGTAAAATGGGAAAGCTGCCAAGGTTAAGAAGTTAGGACGCAAGGGAGAATGCTGGAAGACGGCCTGAGAGTGATACTTTGGGTCTGGTGACAGGTAACTGGCCAGGGTTGGTTTAATGAGGTGGTGGGAATACTGCCATCCAGTCAATTCTGACCGTCCCTGTGGGTGTTCAAAACAGTCTGCGAAGCAGGAACTTCATCTTTCCCATGGACGGGCTGGGGGGTTCTAATTGGATTCTGCATTTAGCAGTTTAGAACTAGTTGCTCCACAGTTGAGATTGGGAATTTTTAAGGGGGTAGCAAGGTCAACAATTTGACCTTCAGGGTTACAAATTCATAATGCAGCTGTTAACTAAAATGTGTTAAATGCATTTGCCCCACCTCCCTTTTTCCTAAAAGGTGGGTGAGGGGAACTTTAGATATTAAAAGAATACTTTTTTAAAAAGCTTTTTATATAATTTCCAAATTACTACAAGTACAGCGTACACAGAATTGAGAATGGCTGAAAATATTTGCAGGCTCTAAGTGATGCCCTGTGCATTAAGCACAGCCTGAGAAACACCTGGTTGTAGTGGGCACACAAATGGAGTGCTTATATGTTCTAGTCCAGTATGGGAACACATTTTAATGTGGTTACTAAAGCAACCCTTTCTCACAAGTATGTTGTGGTTTTACACCTATTAAAAAAAAGCGTGAGGCCCATTTTCTTGTGAAGAAACACTTGCCGGTCCAGGATGTTTAAACAGTTCTATAATTCACAGTTTCAAAGTAACAGTGGCACACACCCTTCCCCTCCCACACCCCAAACCCTTCTTCACTGGGAACAAGTCTATCTTGAGGCGTGAGCTTGGACAGTCTTTATTGTTTTTGCTGTGTGTTTTCCAGCCAGATTGCTTGTAGATGTCTGAGATCTTTCTTCAATCAGGCTATCTTTAGATCCATTTCGTCTCTAAAAACATGAAAAATGGGCAAAGTTTGATACAGCCTATCCAGAATTTTTTATTACTACATCAGAAAATTACTGAGCTTTGTTGTATTTTAAACAAGTAACAATTCAAGATGCTTATAAATTTGACAGCACCTATTTTAGTCAAAACAAAGCATCAATCTCAATCCATTCAGCCACAAGTAGCATTTCTTTTTGTTGTGCCATTCCTAAACCAAATTACCAAAAGATAAATGGAACGGAGAGGTGTCTGTGTTTGCTAGTCACTGAAGAGCCCCACAGCACAATGTCCTGGGCATGGGTACTTGTCAGCAGGGTGTTGGGGCTTTGTTTTTCATTTATCAGTATTAAAGTGTCTCAGAGGGATTTGGAATATGAGTGCCACTGGCAACACTTTAGTCCCAAGGTGGCCAGATCAATGGCTTTTGGCCCTCCATGAAAACTCCCTGTGTCCAGTCTGCTGCCCATTTTTGTACGTCTCTGGAACACTAAGAATGAGCTAGACCAAGAGGAGGCCAGAAGGAACATCAGTGAGTGTTGCATGAGGTTTTATTTGCCTTCCCCCTAACTGCTGTGGCCACACTGGTCATCCAACAACTAGCCTCCCCAGGCTTTCCTAGGCTACCACTACTGCTTACCAACTGGCCACTCACCAATTAACGTCTCAACTTTAATGACATTTCTAGAATGTGGCTGCCTCCGACCCCATTTTTAAATGCAATCATCCTGTTGAGTCCCTTGATCAAAGATTTGTTTTTATGGTGCTTAATTTGTGCTTGTTTTGCCTGTACTTTATGTCTACACCAAGGTTGCAAAATCGTGTCCTTATGTTAAATCATTTAAAATATTTTGAGAACCCTTCTTGGCTCCAGGGTGATTTCCCCGAACAGTGCCTGCCACTCCTTAGAGGGGCTCCTAGAACCTTGTCTATTGAAAACCACAGGTTTTCACATGCTGATCAGCTCGGGCATGTGAGTTTTCCAGTGTAGCTAAGGGAGAATTACTCTTTCAACACTCGTGTGTAACAAGATTTTTGAGAATCTTGAGTGATAATGATTAGTAAATCTGGAGCAGATGGAAAAGCAAAAAGAAAGTTGTAACTGTATTGAAGTCAACACGACCTCCATCATGCACCCCCAAAAGGATAAGTTAAAGGAATTGGTTCAAGTCACCCAAGTAGCGTAGAGAGGAGACAATTACAAGTCAGTCTGAATGCAAAACAAAATTTGGAATATAAGTACGGCTGACTTGAAACAAAAATGGTGTGTTTGAACAACCTATTATGCATAGATTCGGTGGGATAAGAGGTGCAGGTTGTAGTGGAATTGTGGTTTAACTGCCCAGATCCCTGTTCAGACAGAAGCACGTTTCTTTAATTGGTGAGAGTGCTGGCTGCTATAGAGTCCCTCATGGACACGGCCCTGGGGGGTGGGAGGGTGGTATGGGGGTGTGGTGTGTGTGTGTACCCCGTCCATCTTTGGTGAGAGTGCTGGCTGCTATAGAATCCCTCACCGACACTGTCCTGGGGAGTGGGGATGTGTGTGTGTGTGTGTGTGTGTGTCCCCCTCTGCTTCGGGGCTCCCCATGGGATGAGCTAATCCCTTTATGGGCGCTATATTCTTGCCTCTCCCCAAACCTGCTCTCCTTCACCACAACAAATGAACAAATGTTGAACTGCAGAGCATTCTCCAATAAACTTCCTGTTCAGAATCTTCATTCTAGACAACCAGACCTCAGTTAACACAGGGGTTTTCTGTTTTTGTTCATTCCTGAATATGTGGCTGTCAAAATGAAGGTTAAGATTTATCGCCCAACCTCCCAAAGGGAACTTCAAAATGCTGCTTCTCAGAGTTGTCAGTCAACACCTTCACCGAAGTTCAGGATTACTAACCTGATGAACTGTAGAGCCACCAGAGCCCTGAGCATCTGAAGATCGGGTCACCGGGAGTGGAGGTACGAGATCCGTTTTTGCACTGCAAAGAGTGAGTCTTGGGATTAGCGATTGGGACAGGACCGAGAATCTGACCTTGAGATGGAAGAGGGCCATACACTCTAGCCTTTATATTCTGTCTTGTTAGTGCCTACCACAGTGCTTGGCACACATCAGTGCAGAGACCTTATAAATGCTGTAAAATTAAGTTACAAGACTAATTTGCCCAAAAATACAGTTAATAAATAGAAAAACTAAATAAGTTAAGGGCATGTTTCCTATCTACTTGTATCACTGTGACAAACTACTGCATGACTTTATTTAATCCAATATCTAGCCAACCATATCCACTTACGATTTTTTTAATCTTACAGGACTGTTGTATATAGCCATGATTTACATTTTTAAAAACAGAACTAAAAAATTAAACTAGCCTATACCTCTCTCCATTAAGTTAGCCTTTCAGACAGTTTAGTTAATGATTATCAAAGTTTTGAGCCTTCATTCAGAGTTTGCTGGATAACATTTTTTACCCAGTGATACCAAGCACATGAATTTCCACACATTCATTAAGAAATATAGCACCTATCATGTGTCCATCTGAGACATGATCCCTATCCTCCAAAGAAACAACCAGGCAAACAAATGGATGACGTTTGTCGTAGCGACAGGAGAGTCGAGTACAGTTAGATGTCAGGTCAGCAGTTTGCATGGACCGTGATGAGACTTGGTTCCCGTGAAGAGTTGCAGTCCGGGAAACCCCTTGCAGAAGTGTCTGCACAGGACTGCAATGAGCAGCAGTGGGCCTGAGTTAGACTTTAAACTGTTAGTCTTCCCAAACTCTTTTGGGGGCTGCTTTTGGATCTTCATATCAAGCTTCTTTGGCTATAGTGATAAATATATGATTTTCTTTCTTTTGTCACATGCACATATATGTACAAACTACAAATGTACTCTCAATGTCTTAGGCCAAAGTTGCACGGATGTGCCAGTTCATGAGTGTTTCATTTACTGTAAAGCCAGGTCTATTCCCCTTGCCGTTGACTAGCCCCCACGAACAAGGAAAACAAAAGCCACAGCCGTGGCGTCGACCGGTTCTGAGTCACGGAGAGCCTGGACCTGGGTGCAAACAGACAGCCTCTTCTGTCTCCCTCTGCTGGGTTGGACCCAACCTCGAGACCAGACCCTCAACGGAAAACTCAGGCCATCGTTAGCAGACTGCGATGATGAAAGAGAAGGCAATTATGGAAGCAGACACCTGGAAAACACCGTTAGATTGTGGAAAACGAGCGGCAAGGCCAGACGGAGAGAAGGCCCTCAGGTGTGAAGAGGCTGTACCGTGGGAGCGCCACAACGGAAGATGCTGCACGGCAACAATAAGGGCTTGCTGACTTTCAGGAAACCATTATGAAGATATTGGGATTTTAACATGCAAACAGTAGACATAGGAGTCATCAACTACCTAAATTTTATTATTCCAGCACATGAAGCATCTAACCAAAGAGCTAAGATTGCTTCTGATTGTGAGCCTGAATCAGCGAATGAATAAAGCAGGTTCTGCCTTTCTTGCTGCCAGCTAGAGTTCACCAGATAAGGTGTTTCTGCCAGTACCTCCAATGAGTTTTTAGAAATTAAAAAAAAAAAGCAACTAGTTAAAAAGGAAACATGCTAACCTACTTCTCTGAAACCTTAGATTTGAGTTAGATTAATTTTTTTAATTAATGTAAAGTCTTGTGGCTGCATAATTCACAATATATTTGCTTGTACTTTTCTTTCTTAAAATGTCCTTTCTTCTAAAAATATCAATATATTGCTTGGAAGTACCTTGATTTGGCCTTATAACCTAGATCTGCACTGTCCAATATGATAGCCACCTACAGCTATTTAAGTTTAAATTAATTTCAATTAACCAAACTAAAAATTTCATTTCTTTACGTGTGTGCGCGCGTGTGTCCTCATGGCAGAAACCTCTACCGTACGGTGCTGGTCTAGGGCCACGAGGATGCAGAGACGAGAGACACAGAGCTGCGCACTTACTTCATTTCCGAGAGGACGGACCGCTCTCCATCCGAACACTGGGACCGGCGATACTGGCGGTAACTTCGAGGGGAATGAGAATGCCTGATGCGGATTGGATCACCTTGTGTCCTAAACAAGCAACCAAAAAACCACAGACATAAATACGCCATTAGTTCGTCCTTGATCTTGAGACCTCAAAGGATTTACGACTTTTAGAGTTTTAAGAAGGAATCTGACTCTTCTCCATGCCTTTGAGAGCCCGAGTGTCTTAAAAGTTTTCGCAAGCTAACAAAAGAAAGCCTTTACTTGATCATATGTGAAAATGAAACTCATTGTGTATGTGTACATAGATAACAAATTTTAATGAAATTAATCCCTGTGCACGATTTCTTATGCATGATGTGGGAAACCATCTTAAAAATGGCATTCATCTCCCAGAAAGGGTTGGTTAGGGCCCCAGCTAACGAGCCTGTCCTTTAGAAGTGTGATCTTGCAGCCTGAAGATGAAGGGTGAGGAGAACAGGTGTACCACCCTGCAGATGCCTTTCGCAGCAAGGACGCAGAAGGCAAATAAAGAAGGCCTGGCAGAGCTTGTCCCTGTGCGTTTCCGAGATGTTGTCACTGAGTGTCACTGAGTCGGTTGGACTCACAGCGACTCTATGCACAACAGAATGAAGCTGCTCTGAGACTCAGAAAGGCGGGAACACGGCATAGGGAGGCAGTTCTGCACTGGCTAGTGGGTCTTTTGGGCTTTATGACTGTGGGGAAGTGCTGGCTCTATAATATGGTGAGGGCATAGCAGGGCTTTATGGCCAACATAATTACTGAAGCTAAATTAATGAATAAAAATGAACTTTGTTAGCAACCAATTTTTAAAATCTGACATTTATAATCAAACGCCTGTTTGTACCTACCACATACAAATAAGTAGCTAATAGGAGATGCTATTGTATTGAAGAACAATAATTTATTTTTCTTTTTAAGAATAATTTACTTTCACTGACCCATAGCCCTACAGGGGACAACACCGGAGACACAGTGTGGGAATTCTGCCAGATCTGATCCCGCCACACCAAGGCAAAACACTAAG